GCTACCTACTCTCACTGATTAAGCCCATGCTAAGGGTAATTGACAAACTAATATGAGAAAGTATGTGTCAGATTGCCGATATCGTTTAATTTAGTACACACATTTAAACCGTATAATTGATAGTTGATACTTGTAGATAACTTATCTCGATATGCACAATTATAGCAATGTTCAGTGTAGTTATTCTATGGAAGAACGTTAGACAATTAGCGGATAAACCTTTGGTTTTTTACTAGTTTTACTGTATCGACCTAAATTTTGGTTAATTTCCACTCATTACTGCAATATAATTAAACAACTACGCTTCTTATACAAACTGCTACATTCATAAATGTCGACGTACGTACCTCAGAGAGTCCTTTTTAAAACTTACAGTAAAATGTCGATTTAACTGATCACCCTGAGGTCGGGTTGTCTCGTTGGTTTTTTGTCGGGCCTAAAAGGATATGTTTGTATAAGAGGGTGAATGGGATGTCCCTAACCCTATATTACCCCGAGATAAGGACCGATCGTTTGATAAAGGGCGGCAGGACGAGTCCTTAATTAATTACCTGATACTGGATGTCCTTGAGTCCTCGGACCGCCTCCGGGCGAAATGCTGGGCGACTTCATGTGTTCTCGGATCTGCTCAAAAATGCTTACCTATTTACACTCATTACTAGATAAAAATTTTAATTAATGAACATCCTTGGATCCTACTATGAAAAACTAAATCGTGTTCGTTTATATTCAAACGTAATGTTATCATTGGCCATTTTGGTTATTAGTTTTTGGTTAAATAAACATTGGTAGGGTTGTTAAGTTTACAGTAAGTTAGAGTGTATTTATTGTTAATTGATTTTGATTCTCGATTGTGCAAAAATAAACTTGCTAATCAGATAAATAAGTTGATACATATAAATTGGTTGATAAATAACTAAGGGGTGATTGTCAGTTGTTTGTTGCTTAGTTGCCCTTTACAACAGTCTAATGGGCAACTGTTTTGAAATAAATTCACTAAAAATGCTAATAATTATCTAATTAGCACGTTATTGCTACTAATTAGAAATACTGTAGGTCTATATTAAAGTGGGAAAACTGTTAAGTCAAAGTCGAAAGAGATGCTATTTTAATCCATCTATGATAAAAAATAATTTTATCTGTTTAAAATGGAAGAGTTGTAACTGACATTTAAAACCTGAGGACCTTGCATGTAGTTTTATAATATTTTGAACATGCAGTAGGCTTCCTTAGAGTTTTATATTAAAGCAAAATGCCTCCAAACACATATCAGCTGAGTAGCTTAATCTTGGAAACAAAATGTTCTAAATCTTCTCAATATACGAGGTTCCACTTCCATGTTGACAATGAAACTGAAGAGGTACAAACATGAAGCACACAATTTAAATGTTTTCTTTTTACAACTTCTACTGACTAATTTTATTGAAAATAGCTAATAAAATATCAAAACCTGATCAAAATAACTACTTACCGTACCTCTTGTAGTTCAATTGTTTTAGATAGTCAGGATCATGTTTTTACCGAATGTGTTTCCCTTGATAACACAAACTAAATTATATATGTTCAATTACATTTTTATTGAAACCCCACTACCATTTACCAATGTTGTTTCTTTTAATAGGAAATTATTATTTTAAACGAATACAAATGTTATTCGTGATGGTCAATGCACAAAGAAACAAGTTGGATGTTGTTATATGTCTTTTATTAAATGAATAGTGTTATTTTTTGTAAATTTTTAATGGTTAAGTTTTTGTTTCAACTGTGTGTAGGCCTACTGTTGTACATTTTGAGTATACAATACATAAAATAGAAACAAATTATCAAGTTCAATTCTAAGGGATTTGTGTTTCAATTATGGATCTACTGTTTTGATTTTCTCTATCAATACTGATACAGCAAATGGCTCTTGTGTTATGTTTTCCATAGGAATTACATGTCTATTGAAAATGCATTTTTAATGATTTATACAACGGTTAACATTTGTTATAACACATGTAAAAGTAACTAAGTATGTGTTTAATTTTTTGTGCAATATTTTAAATTCTTGCTGTAATAATCCAACAGTGTACAATAAGCATAACGATTTTAGAAGTACATTAACCCGAATCAACAGAACTATGGATATGAGTGCAATGTTTGTAAAACATATTGATAAATCATTACAGAGAACTTTATAGGTTTGTAATGGTTGTAAAATAAGCTTCAGAGCTAACACTTAATTTATGAAAGAAAATGAGTATTAGGTAGGGGAAATGAGTATATAACATACAAATAAACATACATTCTAAACATACATTTTCATTTTGTTTCAAATAAAAGGAAATCAAAATAAATATTTCGAGATATCGTTTATTTATAATAATATTTATCATAAGTCAATAATAATTATAATATTTTCAAAATGACAATATAATAATAATTTCAACCATATTCACACAGTAGAATTGTCATTAGGTCTATATGTACAGAAGAAGAATAAAACTATACAACACAAAAACCTCTCAAATTATCAACAAAAACAAAAATATTTAAACAAACATTAAGAACATGTTTAACATTCACTTTGAGAGAATCAATAAAATATTTACATCATCTATTATTTAAAACGGCGATTTCTTATTTTAATTTGTACAATACACCACAAAGTTCAAATTTGAGTGTGTAATGAAAAAGGTAGGAATCAATAAATTAAGCCGACATTAAAACACTGAACCAGATTAGAGGGGTGGAGTGTATTTTCAGGTCCTGTTTTTAATTTGAAACAGAAATAGTCTAGGAATTAAAATTTTCATTAATTTAGCTTAAAACTCGCACTGTAACTTAGTTAAGTTAAATGTCAAAATTCAATAAATATGGAGGTGAAACCATTACTGCATCGATGGATAAATTAATTATTGTTGACGACACAAACTTGGGGCTAATATAAAGTATGATCTCTGCTTGAAATTAAATATTTAACAATCTTTTACCAATTTTACCAATATTTACAAGTCTTTTTACGAGACCAAAGAATTTTTACTGTTCTTCTTGTAATGTTTGTGTCTGAACTAAAAACCTGATTGCAGATCAACTAAATAAATTGTAGACAGAAGACGAACTGTAAAAACCAGTTGCAATAACAGTTCGATAGTTTTGAAAAGCTTTTTTAAAGCTCAGCATCTTTACAGCACAGCCTTGTGTATTTAAACGTGTTATGACATATACTATCCTCTTTAATTTCAAAAAAAATTTTTATTGTTATTTTTAGATAAGTTGAATTAAAACGTGTTTACTCTATTGACTTTATACATTTCATCCATCCTAACCAATAGGACAATTCAAATGGGGATTACACATTTGTATACTAGCATATATTATTCACAACAATAACATGTAAACACGAGTTAACGGAAGCAATAAAAGAAATGTAACACGATGTAAACATGCGACACCAGCGCTACACCGCGCGGCGGCGACCGCCACAACTACTATAATCATATGACGTGTCGGTGGCTTTAATTCTTTGTTTCTGCTAGGTAAACAATGTGTAAACATGTACATGACGGCTAAGTATTATGTAGCGACGGCACGTTCAGCTTTTTGCTCGATCGCGCTTAATAATCCTAGTAAATTCCCGTTATGTTTTAGAGTCACGCGGTGGTTTCGTCGATTCTGGCATGTCGGAATCTGATAAACCTATCCTGGATTTGACCTTCGGCTGTTTGTTTTCTACTAAAATCTGATAGGTGATAATGTTCCTGTTCAATACGTGTTGGAATCAATATAGAAAGGGAACTGTGGTAGATATTAGATACATAACTGTGTATTCAAACTGTTTGTGAAAGGAAAAAGGTGCGCAAATAATCCTGAAATGGGATTTTTTAACTAAAACATTTACACTGTTTAAATTACAAATGGATATGTATACCAATTTTAGGACATTGTTGAGGTGAAGATTTTAGTTTTTGAACTATGGACGTATGGTAAAAAATACTACACAAAGCGTCCACCAAGAAAACTTAACAAATGTACAGCTGGATGTATCCTGTATTATGGATTCTTGTTTTATAGGTAAAAATAAGTAAATTTACAGCCAAACATTGCTACTGTATTATACATTTTGTTGTTGTTACTATAAAATTTTATAGAGCGTTGACAGGAGTGCGGCAAAATGCCACAAAAGACTTTTTAAATAAACCAACAAAAATTGTAAAGTAGGACTAACTTTTCTTTGCGGAAAATATTTTAACTACATCAGCATAAATAATGTTATAGATGGATTATATGTGTGGTAGTAAAAAAGTCTTATTTTGTACCACAAAAACATACTAGATAATTTTATAACCTTTTACACATGACGTACGAATGTTTAAGATTCTATGCAAAGTAGTTGGGTTCACCAAATCACTCCTATCAGGTGTAGACAGGCCTAGACTGTTTTAAACACCACTTAAGCAACAGTATTATCTAATAGCTACCCGGCTACCGACTACAGCTGATAAATTGATGTACGACGTGTCGTTTTAATTCTACGACATTTACGATTTCAAACACCTTTTGATTTACGATCGCGGCGATCACAAGTCGGAACTAATTATAAAGCTCTAAATAAAAGCCGACGTCTAAGTTTGACAGGCGTCTATTTAATTTGAGAAGAATGAATGGCCGGGCTTAATTGATTCAACCGGTTTTGGGTAAACCATCTCCTTTGGAGTTGGGTTATTTTATATCGTGTGATTCTAGAACGTAGTTTTAATTTGGTTGAAAATAGTAACACAGGTTTCTTAGATATTTTTCCCCGATTCGTGTTTATTTACGCCACTGGCATTTTATGTTTTTGTGAGGGGTCGGAACCAATATATCTACGTCGGTGTTTTAAATATAAATCTTTATTTTATAGCAAGAATATAAATGGCATCCGAGTACAAAATCAACAATTTCTATATAATTTTATCGACCATTAAACTAGTTAACCTTAAACATTGAAATTTTTTTTACTATTTGATTTGTGATTTGTTTTATCCTACGTATTTTTTACTACTCAAATAATATTTTTTTAACCAATAGAATATTACGTGTCAAAAAGCATAAAATGAAACAGGTGTTTCAACATAGCCGAGATCAATTTAAATACAAAATACTCCATAATAGTTTCAACCCCCATATTCACCCGATAATTCATTGTTTAAAAATTCAACAGTTGAAGGGAGGGTCGCCGGGTCGGGGTTAAGGTAAGTAGCCAAATGTCAGGGGATTTTCGTAACCGAGGCAGGGGATTTGGACTCGAAAAGCTCATAATAAACTCTAAAATACACTCCAAAACACCCTCTCCTGCTATAGAATGACACTGAAACGTATTTAGTGAAATCGTGGCGTACAACAAACGACATAACATTGCTGACACATACAGAAATTGTGATATAAAAAATATAAAGTCGAGAATATACGGTGGAAATGTGCCTAGTTCTGATAAAAATTGTCCTAAATTTATCTAATAAATACGCAGATAACTATGTACAATAAACATTTTACATTTGCACATTGCCCTTGCACGATATTTACAAAGATAACAATCGAGTAACATACAACCAAACTCACTGCATGAAACGGAATCGGAGAGTTTGCTCGCTTTCGACAACAAACTACAGTCATTGTGTTTGTTTCGTGTTTCACAATTAGTTTTCCAAAATAAAATATTTAAAAATGTGTTTTTAATACTCCAAAACAGCAAGTTTTGTCTAAGGCATCAAAAGGTAGTAATCCAGAACTGCAGTTTGTTGCAAAAGTAATGCAAATCTTACAAACATTTGATCATAAAACAATACTTAATTTGTGGACGTTCCAACCCTATTGCACATAAGAAAATCGTTTGCCAAATATTCGGTTATCACATTTCGTAAGCATATTTGAACTAAATACAGTCTTTCCAAACTGTCAACGAGGCATCAACATTACAAAACATATATTGTGAACAAAACCGATGGGGAATATCTGAGATCGCTGGTGCATATGAGGCTGTAGCTGTGGTGTGGAGGGTTGCGGGTTCGAATCTAGAAGTGACTGTGATCGTATACGAGCTGAGATAGTGGTCGTGAGACTAGAACAAAAACGATGCAGACGATGTCGTCAACGATGAGGTCTGCTGTCTACGGGTCGTCCCAGCAATCGTCCTCTCCCCTGAAACATCGTTGACGATTAGAGATCAAATCGATAATATTCAGTCAAGTTGTTAAATAGTAATTCTACTAGCAGAATATCCAGAAACATATGACTATAAAGTAAGTAACGAATCCCAATAATGGAATTGTACGTGAGGATGAGCAGCGGCTCACGTGGTTAGACTTTTTCCCAAAGTCACTCATCTCAAACACCAATTGATTGTACATACTTAATCCTCTTAAACACAGTTTTCGATCATCAGTCAGAGGCGTTCGTAAGGTACACGATATACTAAATATAATCAAGCCAAACCATATGGGATTACATGTTTAACATTGCAGTACTTATGTTTTATGTATAAAAACCATTTCTCTAAATACGGTATGAAATCAAAATAGTTTGCACGGATTGTTTATCAGAAACCTATTCACATAAGTTATAATCGCTTATTGTTACTGTATTGTCATTTGTGGATCAACTAGATGTTCAAAATCATGTACGAAACTATGAATACTTATTTTTAGTTGAAATTCAGTCACTAAAATTTGAATATAATCTAATATATGATAAAAACCACATTTATTTCCTCATCATTGTCGATATTTTAAGGAATAAGACTGTCTAATGTCAGCTTGAAGCGATGTGGACTTTTCGAGCGCCTATGTGGCGAGGAACAAAAAGGAATTGAGTTTGGGTTAAAAATTACGAGACAGTCGGCACGAGCGGGAGGGCTAGACAGAGAGAGGAGGTAAACTGGTCGTGAGTGTGTGTGTGTGTGTGTGTGTGTGTGTGTGAGAGAGAGAGAGGGAGAGAGAGAGGGAGAGAGATAGTGGGCGAGAGATGAGATCACAAGACACAGGAAGTCGAGTTTTATGGCGAGTATCAATAAAAGCTAGGTTATCGGCCACTAGTCTGGTCGGACCTTCCAATTCTCCACAGGGAATTGAATGGGCTGACACTGAGGTTGTGGAGTTTACTAAGTCAAATTGGTCGTCACAGAAATAATTTGGGAAGCAAACAAGATATTCAGCACAAGATCGTATTGTGTGGACACCTATTCATCCTGTAAACATGTAGACCTTGCAAGAAAGTGACCATTGTAGAACTACCAAGACTTGAACTACTTCTAGTAAAAAATATCCTCGCCTTAATTGTGTTAACAGTTTTAAATGCCCGAGATATAATGGATCTTTGAAGGAACTCCTCTTTCTTGCAAACGCCTAAACGTACATGTCTTACAATAATATCACCTACGTAAATCCATCAAGACAATCAGTCAAAATTAAATAGTTTTTTTTTTTTACTTAGGATTTTTACGACCAGCTGTTTCTTTATGCAGGACCATGTTTAAAGCCCAGTTATCAAGGACATCCCAGTTCCAAACAATCAAAAAGCGAATGCTCCATTATAGATTCAATTAAATTAAATATTTACACTTCAATAAACTTTACAAAACTTAACAAGAGGGATCGTATACTCGTGGTCAATCATCAAGGATATCTAAGCCCAGCCACAATGATCAAGAAGCGCGTTTATCATCACCAATAAATGAATTTACTTACATATTTACACTTTGATCAACTTTGTTCAGATATGAAAAGTTGACAAAGAGGCAGCGAGTGACTATTGGACGTCTACCCAGCATCAGCTGTCAGTGGCGCAACAATAGGACAAAAACAGCTGATCCACTCCCGGCGTGTATAAAATATACAATTCATTGTATTCAAACGAGTGAATAAGCCACTTTGGTGGCGCCGTAGCCATGATTAACCATTCAGAGGCTGTCGATGTCATTAGATTTAATTGCAGTTTGCCGCTAGGCCGCGCCTCCGCCCACTGCTCACTGTATCTAGTTAAATATTTATCGTCTGTATGCACACTATGTGGGAACACTATATAATAAGCTGCGTGTGTACAGTACGTGTGAATTTTAATTGTTTGGTTAGTCAGTGCGACACGATTTTTGGTGTTTGAATCTCGACAAATAAACCTAGATTTTCGTTAACTGAAAAAATTAAGCTGAAAAGGTTGTATAGCTCCCAAACTTAAAATAAAGATATTTTTCCAACTTTTATATCCTACGTTGGATAAAATTCGAAAATTCGTATTGAAACAGAATTTATGTAAAACAATGGACGCTGGTTTGCTAAATATAAACATGTTATTTATTTATATATGTTATTAACAAAATGATTCTGGTTTGTTATATTTATTAAATTTCAAGACAATAGATTGCGAAAGTCTAAATATAAACGTTTATTCTTCAGTAGATGTTATTTTTAAATAGTTTACAGGGAGATATTTACTTATTTTTTTAAATGTGTTGTTCTAATACACTTGTATCAAACAATTGTGTTAAGTTTCACTTTTTAACAGCGTAACATATATAAAGCAACATATTTCATTTGGTTCCACGCGTTTACACAACAACTAATCCATGGACTCGAAAAGGTTAGCTATGATAAATTTACTCTGGTAGTTTCCCCACATATAAACCATTTTAGTTGTTCTACAGTAGTTTAATTCACATCCCATGAATACAGCGCCTTACAGGCAGAGGTAGGCAATCTGATTGCTGTGCTCATATTGCATATCTAACCCCTGCTGCGGCTGCTAGAATCACCGTGTAAACCATAGATCTTATACACCAGTTGGTAATTTTATCTACGCTGTTGCAAATTAAAATGTCTTTATCCGTATTTCCAATGCGTAAAAACTACAGAACAAACTTAGCTGAAGTTTTGCACAAGTGTAAGTGACGATGATTATGAGAGAGATTAAAGCCCTATCCCGTTTATACAGGGGGGGGGGGTTTATAAAAGAATCATCAGGTTTTAATGGCATGTACATCATCCAGTTCTTGTCCCACATTAATATTTGAAACATGTGCTTATAAAGCATGATTCCAAGTTTTATAATCAGATGTTCAATATTCAGTCTTGGATTTTTGTTAGACGTGTTTGCATCATATTCAAAATGATTACAATTCAAGAAAAAAAATGTTGACTGTAATGACTTGACCCTTCTAAAATGGTTTCTAGATCTCTTGATCTTACGGTTTTTTTTTTCTATAGGGCTATGTAAAAGACAAAGTCTATGTACCGCCAATGCCTCAAACGTTTTAAGAGCTTCGTGGACTAATTCGCAATGCCGAAAATTCAATCAACCTTGCGATGTTAGCCGGTGTATGGGACAATTTACAGCATAGATTGGAAACTTGCTCCACGTCTAATATACGGCTCATTGAACACTTGTAGGGTATATATGAAAATTTTAATAGTTCTCCTTTCTGTTGATATGTTTTATATCCGTATTTTCTTAACATAAACGTCAATAAAATGTTTTAAAACCTGATGATTCTTTTATAAACGCCCTGTATTTCTACCAAGCTACGATGATAAACGAATGAAAACTATTATGTGTATTGTTTAGAATTAACCAAAAAGTTAATTATAAAATAATTTGAATTGTATAGCCTAATAAATCGCAAGTTATACCTGTTAATGAGAATATTATGCATCTAGTCTACGATTACTCTATATTCATCTAATATATCTCTCTATATTATGTTTTAAAGTATAATACGATTATTTTTTTATTTAATCCCGGGCCTGTTTTCAACCTCTGCGTGTGGCCTGTATAATGGCCTGCACTGCCAAGCCCAATCTACCCGTTATACCAGTTTTCTTCATTCTGTAGTACTTGTTTTTACACAAACTTTATTTGATTCAATTTGTAATAACGCAATCCACAATCCATCTCCAACATAATTGAAGTTGTACATTTGTATTTAGATTATTGGCTATTTGAATTTTTAATTAACACGATGTAGTACAACTTAAGTAAATGTTTTCTTATATTTATGTGTTGAAAAACAAGTTTTTTTTCGCATGACCTTGTCAAGCTTTGCTTGCACTAGTTAATTATCTTTTAAGTTGTTGATCAATGCGTTAGTGATCAATTACTGTGGTATTGCAAACTATTTTGAGTTAATTCTAATGAACGTTACAAATTTAAACCTGGTTGTTAACCATAATCATGAAAAAATGCTGTATTTCCAGTTTTACAAAACTGATTTTGTGGTCAAGCGATTTTATGAATAGTTATTTTTCTATTTCAGTACCATTTTTTAATATAAAAGTAAACAAATTTGTAGGTAAACAGTCTAAATTCCTAATAATGTATAATATGTCGATGATTAACACTGTCTTTCTCGCTGAGAAGATACTCTTGTCCATCGTCACGCCCAAACCTCAATTAATCTATATACAATATCAGTTTTGAACACAAGTATTACTGTGGTATTCAATATTAATACGAGCTGATATGATTGGCTGGCATAGTTCTGACATTATACTAGCAATGTGGATAATTTTGCACAGGATGGTTCAGGCTTGTTTAGTTCGTAGGTGCTTTCATCTAATAAATTATTCATTGACCTAGTGGGGATCGTTATACCGAGACTCATGTACCAAATTCTACGGACACAAGACGATAAAATACATCATGATTAATTTAGAAATAGTTTCAGGTTATGATTGGGAAACAGTTACGATATAATTAGGTATTCAATGAGTCATTTTATCTTAAATCAGTCACTATTGCGAGCCAAAACCTGAGTTTATGTTTTAAAAGGAGATGCAAGTGTCGTCACAAACACTTGATTGGTTTTCTTATGTTTGAGTGTTATCTATTTCCGATATAGTAAAAACATACGTAAATGTTAACTTATGTATATTCGTTCAATAGGTAACGTCAAAATCAATTTGTCAAATTAGAAGGACCGCTTTAAACCATTAGGTATTATAAATGTTCAGTACAATCTTTAGGATTAAACCCCCATACAGTTGATGTATAAACTCTTGATAGTGACTTGAAAATTTAAATCGTGTTTAATGCCAAGAAACCTATACGTTTACGTTTACAATCACAGAATTGTTTAAAACACGAATGTAATAAGCGCCTACCTGGGGGAGGGACGGGCGAAGTCAGAGGTACCGCGATGGGCGAAGGCCCGTGGGGCAGCTCCTAGACCGGGGACACGAACCCGCCGCCGCTCATACTCCCGGAACTAGCAACAGAGAGACGAGGGTGAATGTCAGGTGCAAGAAGTAGAGGAAGTAGAGGAAGTAGGCCCGAGTAGACTGCTGGAGAAAATTGTGGTTTGTTTCCATAAGTTTGTGTACTTGCATTTCTATTGGATTAGATAGTTTAACGGGCCGAACAAAGTATTCGGTATTCTTATGATTACTCTTATCACCAAAACACTGCTCAGCTGAAGTGTTAGAGGGACTTTGGGGAGAGAAGAATCGAAATGAGTAAAATCTAGTGACGAAATAATAATCCACAAAGCAACAACTTTACTGAGGTTAATGGAGGTTTACTATAAAAGTGATGTGGACTATCATTACGACTGAATTTGTTTTCCTTCATTTAAAGGCTCTTCGCTTAGCGAAAATTTATAATCTGCAATACTGACAATACTATGCCTACAAGATCAATCAATTGCCGAACTTCTGGATAAATCAAACAATGGAAGAATGCAGAAATTAAATATGTTTATTCATAGACACTAAAATTACCGTAATTATCCATAGATTTTTATTACGTTCACATTTAACATCTAGAATATCCCTTCCGTCAATTCCTACACAGATATTCAGTTGTTCTATAAAGCTGTTATTTTCTTTTATACCTTGGTTAATTGTTATTAATAATACATAGGCTACTCTATTTGGATTCAATATGAAACAAGTATAGCAACCTAGTATGACTGCCAACGTTAAAATGTTCGTAGATAATGTAAAATGTAAACATACAGTACAGTTTATTATTAAATAAAATAGATTGGAGCGCTTCACGAAGAGATAGCATATTTCCCACTCACATTTCATTGCAATTTAAAACACAGTTTAAGCTTCCTAATGTCATGTATTACCCTAATTCAGAGTCTCATAGCTTTACTAAATGTTGTTAAACTTGCAATACTTACCATTACCGTAATACTTGTCCTGAGTACTTACTTTTTATAGAAGGGTTTGAAGGCGGTCTCCTCGGGTGGTGGGACGGGTGCGGCTTGCGGCGGCGGATGGTGCTGCGGCGGAAGGTACTCGTGTCTCTCCTTATCCTGGGGGTGCCTGGGGGCAGGGTACCCCCCGAACCCCTGGGGCTGCTGGTACCCTTGGGCGTGCGCGGGGTTTCCGCTCCCGAAGCAACTTCCTGGAGCAGGGATAATATTCCCGGCGACGTTAGGGAGTTTCATGTTGGGCGGTGTTTGAGGCGGCGTGTCCGTCTGGACCTCCGGGAACCCTGAGGAACCCACGGGGCCACCGTTGAAGAACCCGCTGTACCTGGAGTACGGCGCCGAGGCCGAGGGCAGGGCGAACCCATTGATCGGGCCCATACCCGAGCCACCGGCCCCGCACCACGGCTGCGACGAGGGCGGAGGCGGAGTCTTACACGCCGCCGTGTCCGCTAGACTCCAGATCTTCGGCTTGGTCGCGGGTAGAGGGACTCCGCAGTCGTCCTTGTGCATCTCTCCCTTCATCATGAGATGGTGCGGGTGATAGCCGTGACCCCCGTGGTGGTAGGACTTCCTCTCGTCGTCGTCGAGGTCGTCAGAGTCGTCCAGGTCCTTGAGATGGTGCTCCGCCTTGACGTGTAGCATGTCTGTATAAAACAAATGTGTCTCAGTGTTAGAGTACGACAAACTTGCTAAACCAGTCATCAGAACTACATCAGTGCCACATATTGGAAAAGCACACCATACGGTGTAAATAATGTTAGATTTTGTGGTATCTTCATGTAGGCTACTTATGTATGGAAATCACCATGAATATATATAATGTGCGATCAAGTGATGATAACTATATCACAGGGTCTATCTAGAAGTGTTACCTATGTTTTTTTTCACAAATTTATGTTAACACATCTACAGTGTATATTTGTGAATATATCAACTAAACCGCTTGGTTATCATTAATAATTAGAATGGCAGAATTGGGCTTTAATGTTTAATGTGATCTTATGGTGCAATGGATCAATTTCGACACAGTCAATCTAGGTACGGGTCGCCGGAAGACTGCCCCCGGAAAACTACCCCCCCAAGCAGGTCCCTACGTCATATTGACGTCAGAGACCGGGGGGGGGCAGTTTTCCAGTCACGGACACTCAAATTTAGTTGTTAAACAGTTCTAATCTAACCTAACCTAACCAACCAAACTTGCTGTAACATTTTTAAAATCGGTTTTATATTCACCACATGCCTTTTCTATTATCCAACGGAATTACTCGAATTAAAATTAAATTTACATAGCATGATTTGTCTAGGGGGGTAGTATTCCAGTCGCGGACACTGCTTCCATATTGGTTAGTTAGCAGATTTTGTGACGTCACGTTTCACCTGGGGGGGTAGTTTTCCGGGGGATAGTATTCCGCATCCCCCTAGGTACATGTCTATGAATGTAAATATGTATATACTACTCCTTGCATGTAGGTAAAGAAGTGGGCTTCTGTCTGCTTAGTAGTATAGAATGTCTAAAGTTCTGGTGAGTCATCGTCAAATTCACGGTATCGTTTTTAAAGGAATACTGTTTAATTACCGTTTCCAATGTTTTCCCCCAAAGAGTTGTAACATCGCTCCTAAAATACTTTTTTAAGCTTACAGTTAAAAAAGCATATCTTATATTCAATGGTTACTTAGAATGATTGATATCATGTAAGCCGATATCTGATGATCACAAGTAATGGACCTTAGACATAAAAATAACTCCTTTCTCTCGGTTGATACAAATCCTCAGTAATTTTCCATTCCAAGATCACTTTCAAATCCCTTACTCTAATCCGGAGTAAATATTTTTCACAACAAATCAGTTTCACAGCCCACTCACTCCCCCTGGATGACGCATTCTTTCAATTCCCCAGTATCTACATATCCCCGGAGCTCACCCCCGGGCCGTTGGGATTTGCCCCCGTCGAGCTCGATTGTTCTTAATGTGTCGATGACTAAATCAAAATGGGTCTCTTAAAAGCCTAAACGTCCGACACTTGTCGCTCCCCTTCGGATTACCCTTATGAAATCTCCCCTCTAGGCGCGCCGCGAAAACTGAGTCCGCAGACCTTTAAATAATGCATCATTCCGATGCCTCACCCTCCCGGGATTAATTTAATTGAGGCGGTTTAAAAACTGTTTGCCTGCTTTGCTACTTGTCCGGACAATTAGAGGCCAACGTCGGCAAATTGAGAGTAATTTACGGCGCTTTGTGTTTTTGCCACGCCGAGTGACGTGTAATGGCAAGTTCCGCTAAGATCCGCGTGTGACACTTGGATTAGTTCAATAGAAGAAACACGTCGGGAATCTGTGCGTTTCTGTTTGAAAAAGCTGATCCGTTTATCGTGATATACACTTTTTTTTGTCCTAGGACGCTAGGCACGAGCCTGGGATTGTTTTTCACATTACTTCAGGCTAGACCTAGGGGTTGCGGCATTATCACTTAGATAAAATCCATTGGTGACTTGGCGGGGATCGAACCCGGGACCTCACGGACCGAAGTCCCGCACTCTAGCCACTACGCCAGCTCGCTCCCCATCGTGATATACACTAAGTAGGCCTACTAGTGCAATAATTATAGTGATGTTGATAATAGAGCTAATTGTCGTATTTTCGTTTAGAAAATGTAATAGCATTGACTTTGGATACCACAAGGCGTCTTCTCGTATCTAAAATCTGAAGGCGATTATCGTTTCTCTGTTATTTGACAGTGGATTTAACAGCCTTGTTTCACTCTGGTAAAATTACCACACAAGAAGCAATATTATTTAAATAGTTTAAAATATAAACTACAAGAAATAAATAGTGAACTTCCCTCTAAAAGTATACCTTCTAAAAGTACACGGCAGAAAATTTACCTCATCAGTTTTTTTTTGTTTTTTTTTTTCAAGAAAATACATTTATTTAACAATACTTCCCTAGACTATTATTACTAATTCAAAGCTTAACTCATAAATAATTCCTGAAACTACTTTTTCACATACAAATAATTCTCAATCACAATCACATATTAAACTTTCACAAATCTGAGCCCTTACGTGTTCCGAACATAAATTAACGAGATTTTATCACAATGTCCCTAAACGAATCTACCATCTTATCGTGCGAATCTTAATCCCTATCGGTTTCATTTTCAAAGCAAATTATTCAGGGAATAAAGGCCGGTTTATGGCCAGTTTACGTAATCTACTTTGTATAATAACCTCGCTACCTCGCCTTATCTTTGTCTTATCACGGTTGGATCGCGCATGAAGGCTGCATGGTTATATATTGTTAATTGGCCTACAAATGACACGGCTGTCTGTACACCAAGGACAATGGCTGGTAATTAAAACAGCTGTTAGTTACATTAGTTAACTCTAGTTAGTTAGGTTAGTTGGATAACGCACCATCTACAACTACTTTCACAGGTGTTTTCTTCGGTCGCTTTCTTTTTTAGATTTCTTCTTTTTTTCTTTGGGAATTGTCATTTGAATATCTATTATTCTAATTCCGTAAGGAATTTCTTGTGCACAGCAAAACTCATTTATTTATTAACCGATTTTTATGATTGATGTGTCAAATTAAAGGGAATTATCTGCAAAAGTCATCGAATAATTTTTGTCACGCTCAGTTCAATGTGCTTCGCCCCATTGGACTTTAAAGTTGCCATGTATTTTTAAATATAAGTGAAAATTTAGTTAAGTTTATCAAACATATGATTCATAAAAAAAACATCTGTCTTCATAAAAATAACCTCTATCCCTTATGTCATTTTAATATTTACTTTTTCTGTTTATTTATCAGCTTACTTTCAAATACAAGGATGACTGATGGAATGGGATAGTTTATTGTGCAGTTTAATTCAGAAAGTAAATAAAAGAAACGTCTTATAACACTTAAAACATATATTTACGCTTATACTGTTACTCACAAGACGGTAAATATACAAAAAAGATGGTAAGTGGTGATCGATTTCGATTGGACACTCCAATCATCATCAGACCCAATAGGCGAATCAATAATGGTTAAAAAACAACGAAACCAAGGTTATCTGGCTAAAGACGTTAGAGTGTTTACAAGAAACATAGTATGGGAAGAGTTTCTTATTTAACATTTTAAAAGTAAGATGAACATTTTAACTGGTCTGTCAGTCAGTATTCTAAGCCTACTCTGTTAGAACCTTTATTAAAACAGTATTGAGCTTAAGATTTTTATTTATGGTTAATTAAAAGTTAAGCTCTTAAAAGTTCTTCTTTTTTTCGTTGTGATAGGTTAAAAGGTTATTTTACATTTTTTAATGATATTAAAATACAGGTAATATTATTACCTGGAAACAACTAGTTTAATTCTATTTTAACAGAACGGTAAAGCTAAAGTGGTTACAAGTAATTTCATTCTACGCTGAAAAAATCTTTCGAAAGTTTGACTCTAGGGCCAGTTTCACTATTTGGACTATTTATACTGCGTATCAAACGAAGATCGACAGTAGAAAGCAATTTCAGGTCAGGGTTTAAGATATACTTACTTATGGTGAATTTAAGGACGAATTAAATAATCGTATTGCTTTTAATGGAGAGATTGAACCCACCTCTCCTGCACATAAATCAGAGATACGAACGACTACACAACAAACCCCAAAAAAATGTCTGGAAAGTCATGGTCATATTTTATCATTGCAGATTTAAATAACATCGGAAGTCATTGAACGATTTCTAAAACGTGAAACGTAATTCCAAAAACTTGCTTTACGGGTATTTGAAATAATTATAAAACCCCGCATATGAAAAGGACAGCATCAACAAGTTTTTTGTTGAATGATTGTAATATAGCAATGGGATGCATTGAACAATATTGTTTTGCTGATAACATACTAAACGTAACTCCAAAAACTTGCTTTACGGGTATTTGAAATTATAAAACCCCGCATATGAAACGGACAGCATCAACAAGTTTTTTTGTTGAATGATTGTAATATAGCAATGGGATGCATTGAACAATATTGTTTTGCTGATAACATACTAAACGTAACTCCAAAGCTGCACGGGTCTTGACAGTATCGCAAACAGAACATGGAACGAGCAGTAGATCGTCGGTGACAGTTATTCATGAGATGTCAAACATATGTGAGAACCCTGAACCGCCAATCGCGTCTTGCGCTTAATAAGTGAGCTTCTAGGAAATTACTTGCGCAAGATGGCGTCGACCGCCTGTCCAATGCGAAACGAGCACCTTGCTAGGGCAACTACACTGCAAGACAAGGTGTGCGTTGTTTTACATAGCTAAGTACCTGGGGGCCGAGCTTTGTCTGGGAGAGCACCGTGCTAGGGTAACTACACTGCAAGACAAGGTGTGCGTTGTTTTACATAGCTAAGTACCTGGGGGCCGAGCTTTGTCTGGGAGAGCACCGTGCTATGGTAACTACACTGCAAGACAAGGTGTGCTTGTTTTACATAGCTAAGTACGTGGGGGCTGAGCTTTGTCTGGGAGAGCACCTTGCTAGGGTAACTACACTGCAAGACGAGGTGTGCGTTGTTTTACATAGCTAAGTACCTGGGGGCCGAGCTTTGTCTGGGAGAGCACCGTGCTATGGTAACTACACTGCAAGACAAGGTGTGCTTGTTTTACATAGCCAAGTACC